TTACAAGTTTTGCACTGAAAGAGGAATGATGTCTTTCAGTGAATGACACAGGCATACTCAGAGAAAAAGAACCCAGAGTGCTCCCGATAGGCAAAGACGTTCAGGCCGGGGGGGGGGCGGGGACTGCAGCCCCCCCAAACTTTGGGCAACTCATTTTTTGGGCAGCTCGAGAAATTTGGGCAAAACTAGTTTTTAAAGAAGCTTGCATGTGTCTGTATTTTCTTTCAAAGAGATATTTTCTGTTTCAACCTGAAGTCGGCGTTGTAAATAGGCTCAATTTCCACCGTCTCCCGGGTCCGGTCTTTGATCTTCCCCTTTGGGGGGGATGAGTGCGGGCTCATTTTCCCGAACAGCGGCTGGTAATTGAGCCTACATTCTAAAGCCAGTTAAATTCACACAAGACAGTGGTTGCCTAGCATGTGATCACTTTCTGGTTTTTTTTAAAGGGGATCATATGTTGATATACATAATTGTAATTTTGTTGTTGTTGTTGGGCACTGTGTTGCACTGCACTAGTTAGTGTGGGGAATTTCCAGTCATGAATTAATTAGTGTCAATTTTGGCATAACTTTCTGGAATCATATTGTAGATTATCCACTGGAGACTCTCAGAAGATCTGAGTCACATGCACGGCAACCACTGTCTTGCGTGAATTTAACTGGCTTTACCACGTCCTTTATGGAGTAAAGCCAGCGAAATTCACGCCCGTAGCTTTTCAAACATTTATGCGACAGTGGAAACAAATATGCACCTTACATAAGTTTTTTTTGTGTAAAACTCGCCTTATGCCATATTAGACATGTCGAATCCAGCCCCACAAAAATATAAGCGGGCCTATCACCATCTCTTTACCTGTTCTGAATGTAAAAATGACATCGTTGCTGAGTACCAAGATGCTCATGCAAGAACCAAGTATATAGGCAAGAGAGTCAAATTTACTGTTTCTCGTGTGCCAAATCAATCGCAACTAGGTTTCACCGGCGGCGATGAAACAATAAATATGCTTAAATACAGTAAAACCGACGCCGAAGACATTGACTCAGATCTTCAGAATGACAACAGTACAGATATAGTGGATTCATTACATACTGCTCCAGATAAGTCAGAAATCAAGATGACTCACGTGAATAATGGTGTTCGGCGTGCTCCAGCTACGTCTGAATTTATGGATGTCGGTGTAACAGATGAGTAAGAAATCATGGATAAAGGTAATTCGGATAAGTCAGAGATAATGGCTATGGATTTAACATACATAATAGTGCTGACAATGGTGATAGTGCTCCGGATACGATAGAAATCATAGACAAGGGTGCAAACTCTGAAATCGTGCATAGCGCTGATCTGGATATGTCCATTTCAGTTGTCATAGATAACAGTGTTCTGGAAAAGTCACAGAAGTTAGTTATCATGGATCATGCAGGTGCCCCAGAGAAGTCAGATATCGTAGATGGTGCGCACAATTCTTCCTTGGATACAAATGTAAACAGTGGTACTTGCCAAAAGTCCGGTGATAATTATAAAGGAGGGCCCTCAGAAACCTATCTTGAAGTGCTACGACCCAAAAAAATGCGGCAGTGAATCTTTTTCTAGAGATTTCAATCCAGCCTGGTACATATGTTATCCATGGCTGAGCTACAACAGTTACTGTGAAACAAATACAGCATGCTGCTACCCATGCCAGAAATACTTAAATGCCCACGATTTCATGTTTGACAATTGGAAGAAGATAGAGCGTCTCACTAAACACCACAAGAGTGATCAAACGACCATGGTGAAATGGATTGATAGCAGAGCAAATAAAAAGAAAAATACTTCGATACTAAGCAAACTCCAGGAATCACACAAACAAATATGTGAAAGGAAAATCGCGACTACTTGAAAGCTGTCATTGAATGTCTCATGTTCACAGCCCAACAGAACATCGCCCAACGGGGCCACGATGAACAACGTGATAGTTCGAGTAATAGCAGTGATGTAAATAGAGGTAATTTTCTGCAACTAATGCACTTGTGGTGCAAGGACATAGCTTGGCTGAAGGATAAACTTGAAAGCCAGTTTCAGAAGCATGCACATTGGACATCTCCTGTGATACAAAATGAACTGCTACAAATTATCACCGACCTCATTCGCGAGCATATCACAAACAATGCACGAACCAGTGGATGTTATGGTATCATCTTGGACGAAACATCAGACATTAGCAGAACAGAACAAGTTTTACTTTGCTTTAGTTTCACTCTGAATGGAATGAAGAAAGAAGCATTAATTGGTTTCTACTCCACAAAATCAACCAAAGGCGAAATACTGTATGAACTGGTGAAATCTGATTTCACTGAACTCAATCTTCATCTCAAGAACATTGTTGGTAAAGTATTCAATGGAGCGGCTAATATGAACGGTGTACACAAGGGACTCTCAACAAGAATGGAAGAGTGCTCCCCGCTCGGTATCTATAGATACAGATAGATAGATAGAGAAGTTTATTTCTCACATTTTCACAGAAAATCTTTATTACAATGTGGTTACAATTATTTAACAAATATATAAAATTACATGCATGGATAGGGACTGGGCTACAATGGGTTTAGAAATACAAGATAATTAATTAAATAATTAAGAATTAAC